ACGCCGGGTCGACAGCGTCGTTCGGTGAGAATTCCGTGTTCTGAGGCGGTGAGTGTCCGCTGTCGAGGACTGCAGCGCTGTCTCCGTTCCGTCTGCCCCCGCAGTTCACTCTGACTGTATGGAGATGAGGAGTCTGAGAGGAGCTGAGAGCCCGGCCTCTCTCTCCTCCTCCTTCTCCCTCTCTACCTCTCTCACCCACTCCCTCTCTCTCTCTCTGTTTGTGTGTCTGGCTCAGTCATTGAATCCCGGCCAGGAATGTGAGTGACTCTGCAGGCAGGCAAGCAGGCAGGCTGGGCTCTTCCAGGAACAAGCCGTCACCCCCCCCCAACTCAACCTCCTCGACGAACACAAACGCCCTCCTACCCCGCTCCGCCATCCATGTGTGCTACCCTGCAGAGAAGAAGTTTTTAAAGTCAGTTGTATTTTCAGCTACAGACCTAGATTATTATGTAGCTTCATGAAATAGATTTTAGTTATAAGAAATGGTCGTAGCGACATGGTTTCGAACACAAGCTATTTTTTTTACGCAATTCGACAAACATTACCTTCACCCAACTCTTTTTGGATGCGCCGCCTTATAAGTTACAAAACCAACATATATTCAGATGTGACATACACTGGTGACTGTTTCCATAAGAGTCGCCCCCTGTTGGTTCAATTCAACTTGGATGCCGTACCAGTTATTAACCTATATGGTCACAATTTACAAAATTGATAGTTTGCTCCATTAAAAAAGTTAAACTATCAACAGATACTAAAATCCTTTGGAGTTACTAAAACCACCAGAGGTTCCCTAATGCAACTCGTAGCCTTTAGTTTGAGAATCCATTTTGCTTTTTTGGTACAAGACATCCACTGATGTAAACAATGTAATCTGCCTGTCCATCCAAATGTCCTGTCCTCTTTATATGGCTAATTATTAAAATAAAATAAAGAAAGGTATGTTCCTCCCCATTTAGGGTTAATTATTAATTAGGTTAAAAACTGGTTTCAGTTTCTCATATCTGTTTTTCTTTCTTCAATTTAAATTGCGTCCTGGCCTGAGTTGCCCTCTGGTGGTTGTGCAAGTTAGGAAACTACTTTTATTATCAGACAGTAACATAACTTTTTCTGTATATACTACCTGGTCAAAGGGAGCAGACTTGAAAGCATAGTAGGACAGTAGCACATTCTTTAAATTTGTAAGTTTACAGACATTGCTTGGATCTCAACCTCTACTGGACAGTCCCAACTGTCAATCAAATAGTCAGATCTAGTCAGTCTACCTACAGGTAGTTTTAATATGCATTACTTTATATTAAATTATGATTTGCAAAATATACATCATGTCCTGCTCCATATGACTTGAAACAAGCAGACATTATAAATAATGTTAAAAGTGGTTTGATATTCCCATACAGTGGACCTCCATATAAATAGAGTCATAGACATCCAGTGAAGTTGCCCCCTGGTGGTTTAATGCTGGTCTATGCACCTCAGATTTAGAAATAAAATGCTGCAATAATTCTTTGGTGCTATTTTGCAATTTGAAACGAAGTTCACTGGCATTAGCTAATCATGTGTTGTTAAAAGCCAGCTATACAGAGACATGGTGCTAAATATAGACTTAACTACAACAGAAACCATGCTGCTCCATGACCTAAACTAAAGAAACTCCTCAGTTCAGATGTGCTGACATTGCAGGGCTAAAATCTGGTCTAGTAGATCTGGAAACCTACTATGTTAGAAATGTACCATGAACCCTTTTATTTACCCTTGTTTTTAAAGGATAGAGAATATTACGTATGTAAGAGAAAGAGAGGCAGCAAGAGTGGGGTATCTTGAGACCATGAGACAAGACAAATTGAGCTTCGCTTCTGCTCAAATCTATTGAAACTGTTTGGCAACAATGAACAAGCCTTGTGTGTTGGTGACCTTGAGAGAAAAATAAAGAGAGAAATTATATATTTTCTTACGGACAGATGTCAAATGATGGCAGTCAAATTAGCAGTGATTCAAGACAATTTGTATTTTTTTTCTCCTTATTTACTGCATTCTTGTAAAACCACTGTCTTTTATGCTCTTTGTGTCAAAAAACAGTAAATACTCTTTTTTTTTAGTTTTGGTAAAAGGCACTCAATGTGTTGATACATGCGTTTCAAAAGGAGATAACTTCTCATTTACTTATTTAATATTCTATGTGTTGACATGATTAAATACCTGACAGGAAATAATCAGTCAGAGTTCCAGTCTCAACAGGTCATGTGCCCACAGAAAGTTCAACGCCAGCAGTTATGAAGCAATTTGCTGTTCCCGTGGCGCCCCCTAGCCAAATACCATTGTAACTGCACCAGAATGCCAAGAGAAAGGGGAGCGACCAGAGGTCAGCCAGGACGAAGAAAGTCGACAATACACTTAAGTGAAATAGCGGAACCCTTTTCAGAAGACGAGTTTATGCATAAAAGCAAAAGAGAATGGTAAAATCCGAACAAACAGAAAAAAAGAACACAAACCTTGAATACTGAGCAAGGTGAGGTGACCAACTACAAAAACACTTTTTTTTCCTTCATTTTTTTACATGTGAATCCTTTAAAAATTCCAAGCTGTGTTCAGTGCAGTGGCTTCCTCGCAACATCTGTGGGAAGATGTCCTTGCTGATTAAACCATGGGTATGATTCATGCTGAATTTAGTGACTGCTTTAGACTGTGTTTAATTATCCAGCTGGGTCCATGGAGTTTTACCCACAGCTACAAACAACCCCGGGGTTGATTAACCAAACCCTATTTCCAGAAACACACACACACATTCTGAAAAGAAACAATAACTAACCAATTTGGCTTTGTGACTAATTAAAACTCTATTCAACATGCAGAGGGACAAAGACGAGAGAGTCCAAAAAAATTAACATTTTGAGAGAAACAAGCAACCAGCATAGGTTAACTTTTTTGGTCATGCATCCACTTCTACATCCCCTAATTCAAAGAACCAGAATGCATAACATACGTATACAGCATGCATTTATTTATTAATTAAAATGCCAGTTTTTGAATTTGAATTTCACAAAAAAAGTGCAATGACATTTTTTTATCATGCATCAATCAAGCATGCTAGTAGCAGCTCGCGCACCCCCAGGGGTGTTCGCACCACTCTTGGGGAATCCCTAGTATAAAGGAATAGGAGTAAAATAAAGGGTATCCAAGGCATCTCGTGGCTCACCGCTTTGTTCTGAACAGCGAGTTTAACTGCCTTTTTTGCACTTTGTAGATGACAAAATTATCAAAACAAATAACATATAAAATATTCTCTTCTCTGGTGCACTCTGGTGAGTCTTTAAAACAAACTCCGTGTGGGTAACATGACCAAAAAAGGACTGTGTGATAAGAACATTTCAACGGTCAGTATAGATTATTATGATGATAAATATTAGATACACAAAGACTGACTTTTTCCCCCTTTAGTGAAACCTGAAGAACCCTCTATCTAACTGTTGACATAAATATGTTTAGCTCTGAACCCATATAACTAGGAGAAATGTACTCTACATCTGGATAATAATTGCTATTGAAAGCCCTGTGTTTGGAACATAACGGCCTCAGTCCTAAATCCTGGCCCACTTCCGAATCTTAAGGTCATTGGATGACTGGTACGATGAGGTCAGTAACAGTGTGTTTCTCTCAGTTATCTGCCCTGAATGTTCCTCTTCATGCCCCCCCCCCTCCCCCCCCCCAAAATGAGACCCTTATTGAGCTGCAGAATTGGTCAAGGTTCATTTGTGGCTAAATCGGCAAGAAGAAATTATTAGACATTACTGTGTATGAATGGATACAAAGGGCACGATGACAAACAGTCTTCAAGCAGCGCTTCATCGTATGTAATCAGGAGCCAGCTGACGACCAGCTTTAAACTCAACTAATACAACTGAACCTAGATTAATTGTAGATTAACTGGAGCCAATATAAATGTATTAAACAGAGAGAACATGTCATCCTGCTCAAGGTGTGGCTGCAGCGCTGATCACAGATTCTCTTCAAAATGAGATCAATACCACTGTAACTCCACAGTGCATTGTGTTGTGTACTTCCCTACAAAGCAGTGGCATGCAGTGAGTGGTCAGCGATGGCTCCAGTGCCACAGCCACAGGGCTGGGCTTTGTTCCATTTAGCTGGCAGATAAGACACCCGTCTGGCATGAAGCCTTCCTTCCTTCCTGCCAGCACTGAGCTCTGACAGCGACAGGCTGGACTTGGGCCTACAGTGCTGCACTGGCACACAGTGTGACTGTCTGTCTGTGTGTACATGAAGTGGTAATGGATACAAGTGAGATGCAAAGCTTGGGTTGCCTTCAGGCTCCTCGTCCTATCAAGGCCAAAGCTGTTAGACTGTACAGAGCGTTCATGCCAAGTCTCTTTTTCACTGTTTCATAATGCTGCTGGCATTCAGTGCTTCGGCACGTTTTGCTCTCCCTATTATTTCTCCTCAGAATCTCATCTCTGCCCTTTATTTACTTATGATGGGTTTTTTTAATTTGCTGCAAAGTCTAAAAGATCCAGCTTTTAAAATTCTTCCCCTGAATCTGTTGCTGACCTTTTCCACTGAAATTGAGTATTAAGAGACGAGGTGCATCAGACAATGATTCTAATATTAATCCTCATTTTTCATCAAATCCATATTTACAATTTCATCATGGTTCTATAACAGGTTAGTTTTACAAATGAATGCCTTCGAACTGAATTTCTCTCTCCGTACTGCTGCGTAAAGCCTTTCCCTGACCTCAATCTTTGCAAAGGAATTAAAGTGTTTTAAAAGAACTTTATATGATTGACACTGGAACCATTTACAAAAAACAGTGGAAGAAGTGGTGGGAAGAAGCAATCCTGCCCTGTAGGAAAAAGGCCACTGGTGGCTGGTTTGATCCAGTCTCCCTGTGTGTGGGATTTCTTCAGGTCCAAAACATACAGGATTAGGATTATTATTCACATTTAATCTATCTATTAACCGTTATAAATGCAAGTGTGAATGGTTGCCCATGTGGCCTATGCCCTCTTCGCATCGTGTACCCATCATGTATTTAAGTGACAAAAGACAATAAACCTTCAATAGTCATAAACTATCATCAAAGGAAGAAGTTAGCAGTTTTTATAATTAACACCCATATTCAGAGAAAAACTCAATAGATAAAGACATTGGCTAATAAAACAGGGTTAAAATAGCTGTCTTTTTGTCTTTCTTTTTCCTGTAGGTGTCAGTGTAATGGATCATCATCGTCCATCCCACCACCATCTTTTGCCTCATCTGCTTTTAGACCAATCACCTCTATGTATTCCCTTACTACGTCCACTGGTCTCCTTTGAGGCCCCCCATAATTTCCTGATACCATCCTTGCCTCTCTAATCTAATCTTCTATATTAAAATATCTCAATGTTGGCTGTCCTGGAGACCAGTGTGCCACCTCACCAAGAGAGGTCATCAGATGTACTGTAAAATATCCAATTTCACTTCATTTACTGCAAAAAAAAGTGTCTTCTTCCATCTGTGGGACAGTGAACGGCAGAACAATAAAATACTGAGTTTACAAGCATGGTGTACAACTAAACAGGCCAAGTTAGTAAGTTGGTAAATTTTAGTTTGGTAGCACTGTGTTGGAAATAAAAATATGTGCACAGGCTCAGCATGTTGGGATGACAGTGGTCAGATCCTTGATAGGTTGAAGGTAGGGAGGGGGTCTCTAACATCAACCCATCTGTCACTTTAACGCCCCTCACCACGATTTGACACGTTCTACACCACCATCACGTGTCTGTCGCTCTTGACTTCCTCACACAGTAACACAGACAAATCCTCCTTTATAACTCATTCTTCTTCCAAAACATGTCACTGTAATCTCCCAAGCAGTGTGATAGAAATAGGGGCTCCACAGCCATATCCTTTTGGGCCTTTTTAAACTGGGAAATGTGTTGATTGATGACTTGTGCATTTCTCCACCTTCACTTCACAGAACGGAAAAAAAAGATTCAAAGTTTTTTATCTATCTTCACTCACCAAGTGTTGTCAGTTTTCTTTTTTTTCCCTTGAATTACAATCACCTCCTCTTGCTTGTAGAACTTTTCCTGTATATTTTTTGTTTGTAGCACAGTGACGTGATCCCTGCATGGCAACACAGTGATGAGTGTAAAACTGTTTTGAAGAACTCCTCCCAGCTGCTGCATTCATCCCTGACTGCGCAGCTGGGAAGAGGAATGAAGAAACTCAGACCTGCCTCAGCCTGCCTAAAAAATATTTACTTTTCTTTACATGTCACCTCTTTCTGCTCTTTCATACAGGATGGTGCGTAGAATTTCCATTCGCTAATGTTACCCTATTCATTATTTAGAAATGAGGGCTGTACCACAGGCAAAAAAAGTGTGTACGGTCCCTAGGCAAAGCTGAAAATGAAACAATTACTTTTTGGGGTTACCTTTATGTGTAGATTAGCAAAGTATTGTTAGAGGTGCATGTTTGGGTGAGAAGACGGGGTAGAAGTCTTTGCAAACAGAGAACTTCTCAGGACAATGTTATGCCTTAAAATGTATAAGCATGGCTACATGAACATAACATGAAGTCCATGCAGTCCAAATCTGTGTGGCACATCACAAACAGGAGAGTCAGACGACAGTGTCCATGATATTTCTGAGAAGCTCACTTTTTGGTCAAAATTTGGAAAACAAAAAATTAGTACTGTCACAGACATGACCTTTTTGTTAGTTTGTTCAACAAGTTGATTTTATATTGTTCAATGTAGGTTTTGTCATCATACAATTTTAATTATACTATTTTAAGTATATTATATTATTATTATTAATACCCCATTCTTTATGGTCAATTCATTCTGAACATTAGATTTTTTAACCAGTGTTGGGATTTTGATTCTTTCTTTCATTCTTCTAGATTAGCTTTGGATGGTGCTGAGGAGAGGTGGTTGGGTCTGAGACCATGTGAACGTATGCAGACATACCATGATGACAAAGAGAGAAAAGGTGGAATTCCTCAGCTTTAGAGACTAGCAGTGTTGACCTGGATTGTGTCCATTCTCAACCATACTCAACACTATTTTTCTCTAATTTTTAATTCCACTGCCCTTACTATTATCATCCTCATTATGATCTTTAGCATCACCATGGCAGCGGACCACAACACACAGCATCACGTGGGATAAATGACATAACCTTACTTTCCAGGCGCCGTGTTGCTTTTTCCCAGAGCAGCACTGTGTACCACAAGACTGGCCCACTGCTCTGCTTTTGTGTTGCTTCTCATCTGTGGTGGAGGTTGGACAAACTGATTGGCCAAAGACAGCAGTATAGCAGCACCCCTCCTCCTGGAAAACTCATCTCACACGTCACAATTTTAAGAAAAAAAAAGACAAAGAAAAAAAAGCTCTCACCTTATTTTAAAAGTGCCAGGTTTTCCCATAGTGCTGTTTTCCATTCTTTTAAATAATACTTTCCTCTCTCATTTCTCTCTTCTCTGTCTTTTTCCATTGCATAATTGTAGCCACTCTCCGTTGGTCCCTCTCCTCTGGCCAACAGCTTAAAGGGCTCAGAAAGTCCCACCATTATTATGACTTCAACTTTCCACTGTATGTGTCCTAGCAGAGGGAAGAAAGTATTATCATTACAGTTCTTATTCTTGTATGATGTCATATGCAGTGTGCAGGGTCCTGACTGGAAGAATGACAGAATACCAGGTTTATTGGAAGTGAGTGCTGATGATTTGATGAAACTAAATATCATAAAAAGACCCTCTCATATTTTCAAAGAATCATCACAATTTATGCATTCTCCACATGTGACTATAGCTCATTTGACTGATTTCAATCTACGACTTGTCTTGCACAGTGTTGACCAATCCTCACACTTGGATGGAATAAATGTATTGCTTCCAAAAACAGTGTTTATATCAATTTTACCTCCAGTGTTATACTGTTAAGAACCATGGGAAATATCCAAAGCCTAAAAAAACAAGTCAAAGACAGTGTGCTCTGTGGACATCTCAGCACTCAACTGTAGAACTATATACTGTATATAAGACACTATGATAAGTTGGCATTCCTAAATGTATTTTAATTTGCAAAAGGATGCCACATTCTGCCTTTAAATAAAAGTCTGTATCAGACAAGTAGCTCTCAGTTTGGTGGTTGGTTGGTAGCTCTAGAGCAGGGGTGTCAAACTCATTTTCACCAGGGGGCCACATCATCAATACAGTTCCCCTTGAAGGGCCGGTTGTTGGACGACTGTATAGACCAGGGGTCCCCAACCCTCGGTCCACGGACCAGTACCAGTCCATAGATCATTTGGTACCGGGCCGCAGTGGTACACAATGAAAAAATGTACTTAATTTTTACTAATTAAAGTAAAAATTAGGTTAAGAAACTCTACTGCATGAAGGGTTTTTAAGCTCCCACGGGCCACACAAAACGGTTTGGCGGGCCGCAATTGGCCCCCGGGCCTTGAGTTTGACACATATGCTCCAGAGTTAGCAGGCTTGTCAAGAGATAGCTCGAATTAGGCACAGAAAGAGATAAGAGATAGTTTTAAAAAAAGTTAACTTTGCCACAGCTAGCCATATTAAATTAGCCATTTGAAATAGCAATTTATAAGAAAACAACTAAACGTTACCTCAGGATTTCAATTTTAACGACGTCAGAGCTAGATATAAGAGCTAACATAGACAGCAAAGGTAACAAAGAAAATAAATATAAATACCTAAATATTTGTCCAGAATCCATTACAGGTGAACCGACTAAACAGAGCTAATTAGAAAGCTAAGTTAAATTTAGATGCTAAGAAAGTACTTATTTAGCCAAACATAAAAGTAGCTATGTTTAGGCCAAAGGGACTACAAAATACGGCTACAACAGCTGAGTAATTGCCGAATTATGGTTATATTTTAAACTGGAAATGTTACCTGAAGTAAAGTATTTGAAAATGTTTATATTTTGTCTCTGTTACTGCACGGCAGGCACAATTCAAACGCTGCACAAGTGATTTTGTTTTTCCTCGCCAAGTTAACACTTGCCTGCGCATGTGCGGTGAAACTGCAACTTCTGGTTGGTTATTATTGCGTGACGTCAGTTACAGAACAAGGAAGTGCAAGCTGTTCCATAGCAGCGCGGTTTTTAAGCTGTTGTGATGAAAACGAATGAAACGACATGGATAATTTCAGATCCAAACTGAAACGGAAAAAATCCTCAACTGAAAATATCCACCCGGAAACATTTTCCCGAGAGACACAGCGACAGACGCAGCTGTTGTCTGTCAGTGACACTGCACAGGAAACAAGGAAGTAAGTGGTCTCTCCCTCTTTACCTTTATTGTAATATAATGTAGAATTGTTGACGTAATACTAAAAGACGCTGAATAGAGTTAATGGATAAATGTCAAAGTATAGTAACGACCACTGATTATCTTAACTAAGATAATGTAATATTCACAGAAAGAGACATTCTAATAAAAAGAAACCTACAAGGTAAACTATACACAACTGACACGTAACCAACAGGCTAACAATCTGCCAAATGACAACCTATCTTAGATATTTAGCTCTGTATGTGCGTGTCTGATCAGATGATTAGGAAACTGGTTTGATGATGATGTGTGTTTCACAGCTCAGCGTGGTGGTGCAGTGATCAGCTGTCTCCAGCAGAGAGTCTGTGGGCCTTCACCCTGAGGTCTGCTCTGCCAAATGTGGAGAAACAGCTCTGGGAGCCAGTTCCTGACCTTCCACTGCCTTCTCAAGTGGTGTGTAGTTTCATGACACCCACATGCCATGTAATAAAACACACAAGTAAAACACACTTCCTCATACATTTACAGATGAGCTCAAAGTAGACATGTACTGTATATTTTTATGCCCTGCAGACTGATTAATATTATTAAGGACAACGCCTCCACAGAAGGTGAAAAGAAAGACACTCTTGATATGTTTTACAAGTGATGTCAAGATGCACAGTGATGACTAAAATTCATCAACAATATGACCCTAAATTTAGAGTTATACATTTCCATACTATTTTTTATTCCAGTAATATACAGATTTTTTCTCCTTTCTTATATTTAGGAATGTTTAATTATCATGGTTATTTGTGATAAATCATGCTTATTAAGGTCGCAATTAATAAAGTTTAATTGTGATTAATCATCTCTGATTAATCAGATTGGACCATACTAGTATTTATGTGTATGTATACATATATATGAATATATGTATGAATATATGCATACATATATATTTACTGTATATAAATTATATATAGTAATGAACATAACAGTTATGACTCAGTGTTGTCTTTGAAATATGTTAATTATTAAAAAGCTTCTACATCCACTTGTGGTTGGAACTGAACCATTATCCTGTTTTTGCCAGAGACCTGCAGCACCACAGGGGGATGAACTGTGGTGTGGCCTCAGTGCAGAGGTTGCTCCTCTCCCAGAACCTGCTTCAGCATCTCCAGATCTTCTCCGACTCGACTCCTTTAACCTGCAGCACAAACGTCTGACGGACAACCATCTTCTCCTCAGATGGAATGTCTGCATGGCAGTACAGCATCAAGTCCAGGTGTCTCTGAAAGACAGCCGACATCCCTCCACAGTTTGGAAGAGGGAGCTCCATCAGGAAAAGACTCAGGTTCTAGGGGGGTAGACCAAGATGAGGCTGGGTCACTCAGAAAATGGATATCGTCCAGCCATGTGAAGAGGAAGGATATGAAGGAGAAGGCAGCAAAGAATGAGGAGAAGAGGGAGAGGATGGAGAGTGTTACAGGAGGAGGCGGTGGAGAGGGAGGAGATGGAGGAAGGCTGCAGAGCTGCCCTATGTGTCTGATGGTTTTCCCTTTAGGGTAAGAGATCCTTCATGCATATGAGAGAAACAGAAAATAATTATAATATTTACTGGTAAAATACACTTGCTCATGTTGATAATAATATTTCTTCATCCTTTTATCTCTTTAAAATCTACTATAGAATTATTACAAACCATCTACATTTTCTTGGTGTTGTATTTATGATAATTCCTGTGCTCAGACTTGTACGCATCACTGTCTAAACGTCTGCGTTCCCTCTTGTTCCCATGGCTGCAGGTTCACACAGATGGACTGTGACGGCCACCTGGCCCAGTGTCTGTCAGAGATGAACGTGGACATGACCTGGTGAGCCCACAGGTGGAAGCGCTGGCCCATGTCCAGGTGGAGCCGCGAGCAACCAAGATGTCCCGCACTCTCCAGGTTCAATCTGTTCGTGGAGGACACGCCGTGAGAGACGCTCACACATCACCAGTCAACGCGAACGCTGACTCTGTGTCAGATTTCTGCACCAGAGTCCAAACTTGTGGCTCTTTTTAGAAGACCCCAATTTTGTGCTTCTATTCTAAAACATGGCCTCAGGTTTTATGTCCTTTGTGAGAGCTGGTGTTTTGTAGCGACAGCTTTTGGACGTCTCGCACAGCTGTCGACAGGAGACTCGTCTGTTTTCCAGACTGCACTGCAGCTGACGCAGCTCAAATTTAGATCACACATTAAATCTTAGCAGATAAATGACCCAGAGACAGAGAGTAAAAGTGCAGAATTGTAGTTCTTTTGGGAGAGCGTCTTCTCAGTGAGGACGGCAGCTTCACCACCTCCATCCTCCTCAGAGCTGCCTGGACTGTTGATGCATTCTTTTCCTGGAAAACAATCTGAATTTAGAATTGATTTCACAACTGTGCTGCTTAAAAATTGATAAAGCAGTAAGAAAACGCTGGCAGTAGTTCTTCCTTCAAGGAAAGGTATTTTAACAGACTGAAAAACTCATTTGATTTGAAAAATTCAAAGGCTCTTTTGTTAATCGCTTTCTTGGGAATGTGAACTTGTGTGAACTTATGTTTGCAGTCTAGAACCTTCTGAAGGACAGGCATGAATCCTAACACTGCACTAGTATATAGCACTAGTATATAGCCTCTGGTTATAACTGTTATTACTGCACCAGAAGCAGCTTCTCTTCTTCTTGACACTTTCTTTTCTTTCTCCTTCGGTTTGCACAAATCTGGTACTTCGTTTTTTTTATTCACTAATCACTAATAAATATTTATTTTTTACCTGTAGTGGTTTTCATGGCTGTGTTGATAATAATTGTTTTTTTCCCATTGTACTATGTCCCCACACACAAAGTCTGACCCATCAACCCATTCCTGGGTGGCCATGACCACTTTCAGAAAGGGAATGGTGCTTGATCAACACCCCACAGTTGGAGTGGGATTCAAACCTGCATCTCTGACAACAGACCTGGTCCTATTACCACAAGCTTCTCTATGTAAAATAGCTGTCATTACAGAAGAAGCCTCTTTGTGTTTACATGACCTCACGTGTAGATCACTGACCTTCAGCAGTACATGACCCCAACACACACACACACTCAGTCTCAGTAGTGTTCACTCAGGTCTCTCGAGCAGCTGGTACAATCTGGCCAATCACCAAACAGGGTCGACCTACAACTTGTCGTACACACACCTGCAACCAAATCACTCACACACACAAGCAAGGAGATGAACATGAGCACAAGAACAAACCTGTGGAGTTAAGGAGTTTACAACAGAAAGTCTTAATCATTTTAAATCATTTTTGATCTGCTAATTGTTGTTAACAATAACTTTTAGATGGCCAATCAAAACTCTACATACATTATGAATGTTTTCAGAAAACACTGTTGGTGTTCCATAGTGTAGTAGTTGCCTTACACATCTGCCTAACACACAGAAGGTCCTAGGTTCAAGCCACATACTTAATGGCGCCTCCTGTGGCAGTCTGTGTGGGTTGCAAAGACTCACACTATGAGTTTCCACACTGTGGAACGAATAAAGGGCCTTCAATTAGTTTTTTCAATTTTAGATTATTTTCTCTGTATCAACACAAAGTGGAGGAAGGAAGGTCTACCAGTATAAACAGTATGAATGCAAAAAACCCAAAAGAATCGCCTCACGGAAAAACAGTATCATTTTTAATAATTACACATATTTACAAAGATGCTGTGAAGCCAAATGAAACAAATGTGGGCAGCTGTGTGTTAAAACCAAAGTTCATTCACCTTTTTACGTCACAATTGTCTTTGTCCAACATGCTTTTGAATGGACATCATGGACAGTCTCCTAATGTGATTTGAAAGACTTGGACTTCACCCATTGGTCCCTCGAGAAAACACACGTGGACAAAAATGACACCAACATTTCACCTGCCATGTAAGAACACCACACTAATAACCTCCTGCAGAGGAGGAGGAGGAGAACAAGGGGGCGTCACAGGATGAGATTCCCTATAAAGTCTAAGTAATTCCCGGCATCATTATCTCCACCTCTTCATATCTGTTCCCTGCCCTGAAGCTGATTGAGGCCCTTTGACTCAGGATCGTCTAATTAATCCTGTTATGTTGTTATCACATTAACACGGGTCAGATTTCATCAAGCGGCTCACAGCCAATAGACACTGCTCCTTCAAACTCTCAAGAGAACGCAGACGAAGATAAACGAACAAAGCTCCTGTGGGACGTGATTCATGCTCCGCTTCTGGCACGTGTGTGTGTGTGTGTTGTGCATGAGTCTGGTTTGAACTGTGCTGTGTAGAAAGGTGGCAGTATATGAAGTTAAAGTAGTACCAGCCTCCTTGTGTCACGTATAAACTACTTCTAAGCCTTTTTTTTTTACTGAACACCATGGTGGATCTGAGGAATCACTGGTTAGCTTTGAGCTAATAGCATGGAGAGATACGCTGGTCACAGTGTCAGGCTGACTTTACTGCGGTCAACTGTCTCAGCTGTGACCCCTGTCTTCTACAGAACATGATGTCCAGGCTTGAAATACATGTTAACAGGACCTGGAGAGCTGGATCCACCAATAGTAGCCTGCCCCATGTGGCGCTGTCAATCATCTTTTTCAGAATTTCATCACCAAGTTGGTAAGACTCCCATTGGACAATTCAGCTTTCAGCCTCACAATTCTAATTCCGCTTTCCTTCTCCTTTCACGTGTACAGGCTGATAAAGCAAAGGGGGAACTGAGCCAGAGTTAAAAAACCCCATCTTCAGCATTTCATCCAGTGCCATGTTGTCTTCTCTGCCTGGACCAAACCATATTTGGAAGAGCAGTTTTCAACAACAAAAGAAAGAACCTAACATTTAAGCAGCACCGCGCCGCAGTTGCACCATGTAAAGGCAGCCTTACAGCAGAGATGGAAACACACAATGAGCCCAAAATAGACATGGAGACACGTTTGCACAAGGCAGAACAACCAACTGGTCACATGACGTTTTTTTGCCTGGCCGCAGATGGTCACGCAGCGGCAGCTGGTGTGGAAGAATCTGAGCTCGGCCAGCAAGCCTGTGCACACTGTGGAGGCCAGAGCCAATCAACGGCCTTTTAGCCAAAGTTCTGGTATCATGTTTCTCTGTAGCTGCCAGACTATGACTGGCAGCAAGGACGCTGTGGCCTTTTCCACCTTCACACTGGCTTTGTATTCAAATGCTGGGCTGTGAGGAAATGCACAGACAGGCGATGTTCACAGCAATGCTCATGTGTGCAACAGTCAGTCTGGACATTCTTCAAAGGTGGACCAGTATCTGTCGAAGCTACAGGTAATGTCAAATTCTTCACACATGAATGGGTGAGCATCCTACCTTATCACAGAAGAACCACGCTCCTACCCTCAGCTCCGGACATTCACCTGCAGTTTTCTGAGTATCTGAACAGCAAACTGTGAAAGAACTATAAGCAAAAATGTTTTTTGACATTTTCCTACAACACGTCACTGTATGGGTTGCTGTCCTGATTCATCATTTCAACATTTTTTTATGCTAGTTGTATGAGTGTAGCTACATACATAATCTGGACTGAACCTGAGTTAGGGCTGTCACCTTTAGCAAAAATTAAATTAAAAGCAATTTAAAAAATATTGGTAAAAAATTTAAAGGATGAAAAAAATCAGGGATTAAAAGATAATTTAAATAATTTTGAACTGGCTCTCGTAGTTACTGTGTGATCCTTTAGAACAGTGGTTCCCAAAATAGGGGGCATGGAGCTATTGCACCAATACTTTCCTTGTTTATCTGCCACAGAAAATTGCACAGATTCATCATCCCATTTCCTTTGTTCAACAAACAGGAATTTTGACCTTCGTTTGAGAACCACTATTTTAAACGTAGCAAACATTTGAGCCAATCAGTTTAAGAAGACAGCGACACATTTTTGTGCTTTTAACAAGCAAACAAAATAGTTTTCCTGAGCATACTGATGTGAGTCCAAAGTATCTAAGAAGTAACATAATAATAGGGTTCAGGTATTAAAGTTGTACAAAACCCAAAAATGCCAAGTTTACACTCCTCTGCACAGGCACAGAGGCATAACTGGTTATGTTGTTTTGCTGTTAGCCAAGAAGGTTATTCATTATGCTAAGAAAAATAATAGTATCTGGAGTTGTACAATAAAATAAAATATATGCCCAGTAGCCTGTTGGCTATTAATGCCTTTGTGCCTGCACAAGAGGTGAATAACATAATTTGGAACTACTACTGACTCAGCAGCACTGTCATCATTGATGTAGGAAAGGGCTATTACATAATGAAATCACATGACATGCAACTATCATTTGCCTAGCTTCTCTTGGAAAATTAGCTTCAACTTGATTTTTGAAAAACGTGTCAGCCCTGACTTGGTGTCGCAGAAGAGAAAAGATCCTCTTAGGACTGCAACTATGAGTACGTAATGACTTCTACACTGTCTATGAAACAAAGACTAAAAAACACTTTTCACACATATTCCAGAGTGGCATGTTTTGCGGTGTATTATCTACTGTGTGTAAAAACTTCAAACCTAATCTTTGAGAAGTTCCTGGAAAACAATCTGAGTTGTCATTATCAACACTTATTCATTCCAGAGTCATTAAGAGTTTTTAGATTACTGGTTCATTAAAGGTGAAGTCATGTGTCAGGACTATAAAAAGGCTTCTCCTTTAAATATGAACTATGTGAACCAACCTTGGCAGCAGTTGTTCCATAATGGCTGAGAGATGTTCTGTAAGTGCATCATTCAGACACAAGGTAATACGTTTGATCTTTGAGGCACTTCTTAATTCAACGGTTGTCTCCCAATTTTCCCATGTCCTACCCAGTCATGAGTCCAATCCTTAAAACTAACAAATAAAGAGTAAGGTTTGTGATCGGGGTGAGAATGTGCCACTTGCATCAATAAAAAGGCATCGTCAAGGTTGGATTCACTACCTACAATATAATACACAATATTTTACACAATATTTTTCCCCCGTTGTAATCGTACATTCTGGTTTTTGGGTGAGGCTGTCGTTGCCTCTTACAAGATTAAAAAAAGAAAACAAAAGTGCACATAAAATTTCAAGTCCTTCAGCCGCGGTGTCATATTCATCCTGGGGTGTGGGTGGGGGTGAGGCGCGTTCATGATGGCAGGCACAGAATCAACAACAGCTTGCTAAAAGGACAAAGCCGGTCGTGCTTCGACATGAGGATGGAGGTTCTGACGGGAGAAAGGACCGAAGCTAAAAGATAACGAGAGAGAGATAAAACAAAGGGACCATGAGAAGACAGTGCAGCGACAGGAATGTTCTCGGAGTTCAGTGTCTGGATTCTTCTGGTATGCACCAAGAAAAAGTTTGGGTTTTCCCAACAAAACAATCAAACTTCTGCGGGGAGAACGCGCTCCTGTTCTCTTGGTGGACAGGTCCACAGAGCCCACTGCTCCCTCTTGTCCTTTACTCTTCCTCAAAGTTGGCCTACAAGTGTTGCTTTTTTTTTTTTTTGGGCTGAGACGGCAGCTTGGACAGACAGTAGGTGGGCAAGGAGGAAGGACGACTCTCCTTCATACAGACTCTTCCGCGGGGAGCAGCAGGGGGTTGATGTATTCAAATCCCTCAAATTCTGACTGGTCTATCCTCTTGATGACGTCCCTGAGGAGAAGGAAGAGGGAGAAGATGGAAAGAATGAGAAGGTGTTGCTTCGTTACAAACCCCGGAACACAAAGACATCTGTAGTAACCTTGAATCAAGGTCTATGAGGAGACAGCTGCTCTCCACGTTTCTTTCAAGGAGCTGACACAAAAGATGCTTTTAGATCAGCGCCAATGCCTACAGATATTTAGGAACCAAATTCTAATTTTAAGGCCACCTTACCTTTTACAGATAATAGGTTTAAACTTTTCAAATCAAATTTAAAATGTTTTAGCTGTTCAATGAAGCAGTGTGGCTAAAAGGTTAGCTTCCTGCATTAATAGTGGTCATGCCAAATACTGTATGTTGGGTTCAGAAAATCTCAAAAACTGTTTTTGTCATTGAGATAGATTGGCAATGGGTCCTTTTCCAAAAAGAGCTGTTGGATTTGCTTGCTAACTGCAAAGCCAGATAGTAGCAGAAGGTTAAAGGTTAGCTAAGGCGATGTGGGAAAGTAGTAGGCAACACAAGCCAGAGAGAGAGAGAGAAAGAGAGAGAGAGAGAGAGAGAAAGAGAGAGAAAGAGAGAGAGAGAGAGAGAGAGTGAGAGCTTACAGAACTTCCACACCTGTCATACCTACTTTCCTTTTTTTTTTCAAATTATATATACTACACAAAGACATATGTGGTTACTTGCCAACAGCAAAATAAAAGACCTACATCGTTGTTTTGTTTTTCTAATGCACAAAGGAGGATCTAGGTTGAGCTTCACTGGAATTACCACAGACAGGCAAGTAGTAGAACAAAGTTGAACCCTAAACCTAAAATCTGAACTTAAACACTACAGAGAAACACAGTGAGACCACGACTGTTGTTGAAGTTGATTAAACATTTTTAAGATCAATAGTTAGTGAAGAACTTCAGCGCCTCGGTTTCTGAATGATGCTGCCTCCATTAAAACTCATGGCAGGGAAGGAGGAGAATGTCATGACTCAAAGTTGCTAGGTGACGAATATGTGTTTTCTCTTAGCACCACTTTCCGTTTCTTTTTACGTTAGCAACTGTGAGGGTGTGTGTGTTGGGATGATGACCTGTTACCCAACGACAGAGCCTCTCATTTTGAAAGGCCGACAGGGTTTTTCCCTGCAGACTTTGAGTGGACGACTTTGAAGTTAAAACAATAGGTGCGTTCACTGAGCGTCGCCGCCGTCCCAGGTGGGTGGGGTCTCACTTTGAGGGCCACCAGCAGTGTCAGAGAGGTTGGCGATCCCACCCACATAGAGCATTGGGACAAGTGAGTGAAACGCCGCTCAGAATACTGATGAGGCAAGAATTTTCCTTCTGTCTGATCTTATGTGAAGTACCGTCACTGTACCAAGAAAGAGGTCAAACCCGATACAGTTCCATTTAGGAAATTGTGTTTTTTTTTGTTTTTTTTATCCCGCAGAAGAGAGATGAAGCCAGAGAGGGACGAATGAAATCAAGGGGAGAAGGACTGGGAGTTGACCAAAACAAACAGTGTGTTCAACCAAGCTAAAAACCTTTTCTGTGTCCTCCCACAACTTGAAAGCATTACCAGATGCAGAGAGAAGAAGGGACAAAGAAGCAGGGGGGAGGAGGAGGGAGAAGAGTGTGAGGCTGAAAAGCAAAAAGAAAAGATACAGAGCAGTTGAACTGGTCTGTTTACTTAACTTTGGACAATAACAACAGAATGAACATATTCTAGATTGACATTAGTTTTGAAGTACCCCAAAAAAAGATAAAATAATGCTTCTTGGATATATATGTAGTGTGTGTTTTAGATGGTGACCTCTGGCTGTAATTAAAGGAGGTGGGTGCAGAGGTGATTTGACCTCTACAATTTACTCATCACCAAAGTGAGCAGTGGGCAGCTCAAGCCCGGGGTGTGCCTTGCTCAGTGCACCTCAGTTGCAACTTGGCCGCTCATGGATTTGAACCTTAAACCTTCCGAAACCAAAGTCCACTGCCTTAACCACTAATCCACCACTGGACGACAAAATTAAGGGTTTTTGGAGATTTTATATAAATAGCTGCTAAGCCATTAATATTCAGTTAATTGGGCCTAATTAATGTTGTGTCTGTTATTGTTGGACACCTACAGTTAGTTCAGTGTCTCCAGTCTATCACCGTCTTGGAAAGCAGGAGAAAACAGGAAAACCCAGAGGAAGTCACACACATACACGGACAGCCAGTCAACTCCAACCATCTCCTGACTAAATCATATGCAACAGTCTTGGTTTTTTTTCACGTTGGTGTAACTAAGAAAAAAAACAGTCTTTGCAGACATTTGGAGACTAACACCTAGAAAGAACTGTGGTTTGATGCTGCCATTTTAGAATTGGGGCAGCTGGCACTGAATACCCTCCCCCTGCCCTCCCCCTCCCCTGTATCTGCACCAGGCTGGCAAGGGCCTCCAGCAATTCTGGCTTTTAATGTGACGCCGTAAATCTCGAACATGGAGGGTTTACCCTCTTCTCTCAGCCTACACGGCTCTCACGTCTCTTTCTTCTGGTGCCAAGCCCATCACGAGCGGGAGAGAGGGGAGACCGGAGAGCTTTTTGCATCACCCCCTCCTAGTGGGAGTGGGCGAAGCCAGCCCCCTCTCCTTGGTAACGGAGAAGAAGAAAAGGGATGGGGAGATAAAGTGCGAGACGAAGGGAGGAGGTGTGCGCGTCTCCTTTTGATGTGCTGTGGCGTTTGATGCCAGGTTGATATCTCCACTACTGAATTGGCAGCAAGATCTCCACCCAATTCTCCCACACACCCTCTCCTCCCGTTCCCACCACCCATGGCGCACGCCAACCAGCGTCTCTCAAAAACTCTATCAAAAC